GAAAACACAGCGATGTCGGTGCAGGTGAAATAAGCCGACGTTTCGGTTACCGCGGGTAACCTTTATCAAGGCGATTTTTACAATCGATTGTAAAAATCGCCTTGATAAAGGTTACCCGCGGTAACCGAAACGTCGGCTTATTTCACCTGCACCGACATCGCTGTGTTTTCCCAAAATCACAATTTGTATAAAAGAATTAGAATAATACCAAAAATTCGTTTGTTTGCTTTTTATGCCGTACACATTTGTTTTCGTTGGTATTTTTTGTGGGGCACGGGATTTCAACAGACAGGCCACACAGCGAGGGTGCCCCTGGCTTCTATTCCGAGCCATACTTCTCAGTGTTTATTATCAACTTCAGGCATCACCCCTCAGAGCCTAATCTGGAAGATTGGTTACACCGACCAGAGACAATGCTGGGATTATCTGAGTCATACCATAACAGCGGACTACTCTGGATTTGTCTGTTCATGACGTAATTTCTTTCCCAAGACTAACTCTTCAGCTGCAACCAAGCTGCCGAGGTACTGGAAGCCGTCACTCATTGCTAGCTGTTCACCACAAAGGGTGAGCGCAGGTACAAGCTCCGACCAGTCTTAAACAAGCACCTTGCATGTTGATGAGGCAATACACACACAATGTCTAAATAGCGCGACTACCGAAAGGTTCAAAGAAAACAAAATTGAACTGCATCGGATTAAAAGATCGTAGTCATCAGCTAGTTTGTTTATAATTTTCGATTCTCGGGTTCGAGTCTTACCCAAAAGCTAGCTGTCTGTGCACTATTGCTAGATAATTAAATGTTGTTCATATGGGGCACAAATAGTTTCAAAAGCCCGTCTCGTCTTTTCTAGAAGTTTCCATGAGCATCCACACGCATTATCATGAACATCGATTTGTGTGCCTCATTTCTGTATTGGTGTTTTTTTCATACCGATTTGGATTTCGATCAAACGGATTTTTTTGTCCATCCCGATGAATTTGTTCAACGAATGTGAACTGCTTTTACCATATCCCAGTGGACAGTAGGATATGTGCAGCAAGGTTACAGAGGTTCATGCAATTGCACCGTAGTGTTCACCGTTAACAACTAGGGTTACAAGTGGCTACTCGCATATGTGAATAGTATGGCTGGAATGTACAAAAATTCAGTTCAGTTTGCACAGAACAGAAACTGGCCACGGTCCATCGATCGTTCGGAATTCCTTCGGTAGTATGCAGTCAAGTATGGCTGTCACCATTGTGAAGGGAAAGCTGCCTCATCTCACTTCCAAGGCGAGAGATTGTTACACGTGAGTGTTCATCTTCCAGGTTACATTCAAATAAATGGCGAAGCAAAACAAAAGCATACAAGTGTCCCACTCTTACTCTTCTAGTTTTCTTAAGTCGGTCGATGGATTGTGAGACCTTCGCTTCAAGAGCAAGTTCAGACCACTGTCCGTCCAGGGCCGTCTTGAATGCCAGCACAGCCTGCAGTTTTTTAGCTCCATATGTTAACTACCCTGTTGCTGATGAAGTGTGATCGGGTGATCAATCGACATGAGGTCTTGGCTAACTTCATTTCATGTCCCCTTGTACGGGAATCTAGCAGCGCCTCCTGGAACAGACAAACCTTTCATTTTCTTAAAGGTTTCTAGCATATCTCCCCTGAGCCTTCTCTTATCGAGAGAGAGTAGAAAATGTTGCGATTGGAGGGTGTGTGTGTATCCATACTTTTATTGTTGTTGTTAATGCAAAACTTTCCTCATCCCGAGACTGGAACGTGGAGGGCAATTTATTGATGTTTAGTGTTGAAAAAGTCGAACATGTACGTACTTGCAGACTTTTGAAGTGATATGCTAAAAGAAAGTAACTTTGACTTCAGTCGTTTATTCAGGTTGCAACAATTAGTGCCATNCCATGACGATCATAAACTGTACCGGATATGATCGTGGCATTTTTTCGTTTGTTCGCTAAATTCTGCCTCATAACTTTTGTTAACCTCGGTCAATTCCAATACTTCTTGAACCGACTCGCTTACGCCAGTGACATGGCTAACGGTTTTGCATTGAGGCTTAAAGAGCACAGGTTTTTTTTAAAGAATTGCAGGATTTAACTCAAGTTTGGGGAAAAGCGTAGTCTTCAAAAGTCACTCGGGTATAGTCTAGGGTGTTTTTGGGTTGACGGAAATCATGGATGCTGGTTTCAGAGAGAAAGTAGAAAACTTGGGTATTGTTTTTTAAATTTTCGAAAGGCTCCCTTTGACATCAAAAATTTGGAAGAGCGACTCGACTAAACTCGTCATTCTAGGTTTATATCGATTCATCTTGTATTTATAATTCTGGCTTGGTGATTTGCGTTTGTTCACTGCTCTCCATCGTTGTTCGTTCCCTCTTTATTTTCAGGATACTCTCATGGAGTGCGATTTGATCGGCGAGTGCAAAAACGATACACGTTTAAAGGATCGTGTCCGAATCGAGATCGCAGGCGGTTTGTTCGAAAATTGCAACTGTCCACACGGAATCACAATGCACAAACTAATCCCAGTCGGAACAAACGGTGGGTATCTTTTTTGGTCCTTATAAAACCGGATGTATTCAAATGAGCAACGAATTCGGTTGCGTTGCTTCGCCTCTGGATAGGCTGCTCATCACTGTTTAATGAGATTATTGCATAACCGAGGGCACAGGTTGACATTATCAGTTAGCTACTTTGTTTTGTTTCCACAAGGCTTTGTGGAAGGAACGGGCCCCGAGGAAGACGGGGGGGGGGAGGCTTTCTCGGTGTCTTCTGTAGTCAAGTTAAATAAATAAATATCTACTCGCATCTCAAAAGAGGATTGATTCTTCAACGATTACGATGAAAATTCAAGTTCATATGCAATCTGTTCTGAGTCGCTGAGGCAGGCAGAAGGATAATTATGATCGAGCCTGTGTGCGGGTATCAATATGTTTGCAATGCAAGCGACTAGAGACGATGCAGGGAGGAGGTAAGTATGGGCGTCACGTGTGAAGCTGTTTGGACAAGTGATGCATGCATATACTATTTTCTGTTCAACTCAGATCAACTCATTTACGCTCATATATGTACACACGCGCGTACCATTAAACGATCGATCGATTCACCTGAAAAACCCAAANTGTAACATCTTACCTAAATTAATCCTTCACTCTCCAGACCCTAGAACTCGCTTCGAGCAACTTTCCAGTGCCTCAACCGGACATGAACTTTGCACACACCGGAGCGTGTCAAATACACAAGACGAATTAATAGATAGCCCGTCACACAATACCAATAAAGTTGTCACGACTAAAGATCAGTGAGGTCCCGAGAATTGAAGTGACAAACACACACTAAACCCTAGAGGGATAATTTTAGTAGTGAGTGGGACAACAGTAACTCTTCGCCAAACTCCAAGT